CAGACAAGCTGAGCTACGCCAAGGCGTGCGTTGGCAGGGCTTTGGTCAGTTTGGTGGCGGCAGAGGACGATCATCGCCGGATTGCATCGCAATTGGAGGGAAAAAAGGACATCATAGCCACTCGCGATGCGGTGATTGTCCAGTTGAAAGAGGAGTCCACAAAAATGGAGGCCGATTTGAAGGGCCAAATTGCTGAGAAGACCGCCGAGTTGGAGAGGGCAAAGGTGGAGACGTCGGCATTGTCCGAAGAGAAGAAGACCTTTGAGGCCGAAGTGGCCGATCTTAGAGCACGTCTTGCCGTGGTGGAACAGCATTTTAAGATTTCTGAAGCTAAACTGGCGGAAACTGAGCGGGCCTTATCGGAGGAGATAGCCAATCACGAAGCATCTCGGAAAGAATGTGTTGAGATTCGCGAACTTGTAAGTCGGCAGCATGACGCTCATCAGGCCGACGTCGCCAAGCTTGAGAAAGAGAAATCATCCTATGGCGAGTTCATGTACGAGAACGGCTTTCAGGCCGGGAAAGATTCGGTTGTTGTCGAACCGAGGTCCGGTGGTAATGTCGAGGGGGAAGCTACTGGTCCCAAGGAAGATGATGAAGTCGACGGGCCTGATCTGGAGATTGAAATGAACACGTGCTTGAACTTGAGATGGGTGATTGAACGCCACGACGCCGGTTACTACAATATCGATGACTTCCGCTTGTTTCTTTTCCATAAGCTGGAGAAGTATGGGTTTGATTCGGAAATAAAAGGAATGCATGTGGCGGCTGATGAAGATGAGCGAGAATTTTGCGTATGGATGCTCTGTCGTTCTGAGGAGGTAAACCCCGACTTGCCATCACTCTCCGAAGATAGGGCTGCTCTCCTCCGACGTGCCTATGTCAATATGATTTTGGAGGAAGAGAAAGAAAAAAGGAAGGAGCTGGCTGATGTGTATCTTTCCACTCTCGCCGAGGTAGAAGTCGAACAACACTTTGATGACATGACCCCGGAACAGATTCGGGACAGGGTCCAAGCCTTCATTGATGAAAAAGCTAAGTCGGCCGACAAGGAGGTGGAATTTGTTAAGGCCGTCACGCCGGCTGAGGATGAGGTGAGGAGGTTGTCTGATCCTCGTGACGAGTTCATTCCGGTGCCAGATGGGGCCATTGAAGCTGCTGTTAAGGCAAAGGAATCGCAGGTCTTGGAGCGATTATCTTCTGGTTTTGAAGTCGGAGAAGGCAGCGGCTCCGGAGGCAATGTGGAGAAACCGGCTGACGATGCTTAGAATTTATTGCTTGTTTTTCTGGTTTTGATTGTTTTTGAGGTATTTTTGGCTATGTAATCGGGGTGTCGACATGTCGGCATCCTTAGTAGGAAGTATTTTTGTGATATGTAATCGGGGATGTTGGATAGCCGACTCCCTTAGTAGGAAATATTATATAAGGGATTTCCCAGACTTTTTCGAAATAATATTATATATGAAGTGTTTGAGTATGTTTGATTTTGATTGTATGTATTGCTGTATAAATTTCAGCAATTTTCGACCAAGTGTTTTGAATTCGGTTTTCAGAAAATAAACTGCTTCAACTCGGAATTACTTAAATCATGATCCGAGTTGTAAGATTTTATAAAGATAACTTCCGAATTCCACTTTGATCATTTATAAGAATTTCAGCCACAAGTGTGAGTCGATTATGCGAGTTTTCAGATAACTTCGCAAAACTCAACAAATTTTTAGGGCTGTACGGGAAATAAAATGGAAGTCACCGGACTTCGTCAGAGTCCGATTATGGAATGGCCCCAACCGAGTTGTTTAAATGAGTGTTCGGTAATTATCGGGGCCCGTCAAATCATGTAAGCTGAAGTGACGTTTTGACGAGCTTCAACCCCGACCAAACCATACGTGGGGTTTGGGTATATTACAGGGTATCAGCTAGACCGAGTGTCGCAATGTTTACATCGGCATGATATATTCAACCATGTGTCAAAAGGTTTACATCGGCATCGAGCTTGGTGCTCGACTATTCAGTACATCAGTACATCAAAAGAGGTGATTTCAGGCATTCACCGAGGCAAAAGAGAAGGTCTGTACAAGAGGGAGGTCGATTA